TACATAAATACGTGCTTGCATTACGAGAATATAACAAGACAATGACGACGGCGGCCGACGCGGCTTCTGTCGCTTCGCGCGATGCGTCGCTTGGATGCGTGGTGATAATAGAGTGAGGTGCTCAGCAGGCCAGCGAGCGGCAGTGCTTGTTTCTGACTTTTAAGTGACGGGTTGGCCGCTGTCCGGATGTCCCGTGGGCGGCGCGCGGCGCTGCGGTCGCCGATTTGCCGGAGGCCTTATGGCGTTGGCGCTGGGGACGCCGAGAGCAGCGCTGCAGCTGGCGCGGGCTCGCCTCCTCCTCCTCCTCCGTCACCACCGCCGCCGCCGCCGCCGCCGCCGCGGCACCCCGGTCAATGCCCTGCGCTTGCGAGACGGTTCCAGTGACGGCGCGGCCGCCGACAGCCATCCATCCCGCCGTGCCGCGCGGCGCCGCTTCTCGCAGCCCTTCGTGGCCCTTCCCTATTCATTCATTGGTTGTTGACTATTTGGTGTATCCGATCACCTCATGATACACTCAGTAGCCCCGTAAGTTTCCGCAACTAAATTAAGAATCAATTGCCACATAGATATTTGTTACACATAACTGTGTGTTAATGGTTTAAAGTTGTGATTAACAATAATGTACTACCAATAAGAGTTGTATCCTGTAAAGGAACTGGATTGATAGATTAAAGTGCAGTGCATGCTGTGTCCGTGGAGGTGATGGGTGCTCATCTCCCGCTAGAACCATGTGAGACTCGGTGACCTACCCCCTGGCTTGCGGGATTCTCCTGCCCCATTATTCCCCCCCCCCCCAGTGGGTACCGCCTCAGGCGGGGCTAGCTGTCAGCTTGCAAACGGGGCTCGTGTGTGAGGGCTCTGCCGCGGTATTCGCGTGGTGTTGTTCGGAGAAACCTCGAAAAACAACCGGTCAGAGCAGCTGATTACTAGAATTATCTTTTCTCTTCAAAATCGCAGGGCATCGACTCGAACCAGATCAATGAGAGAATATTCATTTTGGGAAAAACCTGCGAATAGTTAGATGATAGTGTTGACTACAGATTAAACGATAGACAGGCTGATAGCGGTCTCTTTTTCGGCATCAGAGAACCCCAAAACGTACGTGTATTTGCGTTGTAAACTCAAAAATTATTTTTGGCAGCATTGCATAAGTTTTCCTGTACTACGTACATACAAACGCAAATGAGAAAATAAAAAAAACTCTATACTTTAAATATCGTAGTTGTAGGAAGAAGCCGAACAAAACTTGAGCGTTGCAATTTTCGAAAATTCATAGAGTTCATTGAAAATGAGTCACGCGTCATTTTTAAGCGTCCTTTTCTGTGTCCGAGGAAAATGATTTATCATAAAAGTTGGAGTTACTTTTGAGAAAATTTGTAAAAATGCTATGAAGCCAGAATGTATACCCTCTCCCCCGCCAACCAAAATATCTGTTTCAAACTCGCAGGACCTCATGTTCACGCATATCGATCTGGGAATATCAAATGTGAAGAACCTCATCTCAATGGTTTAGATTCTAACGTTGGCCGCAGTCGGACGGAGACAAGACAGATGTTTTGCCTTCGACCAGTTTTTCGGTACCAAGGATCAACAAAACGTGAGTTCTGACTACACATTGTGGTAGAGGAAATAATTTTCTACCCTTAGGAACCAGTTTTAATATTTTTTTGATACCAGGTCCCTGAAAAAACAAACTTTTTCTGAAAAACAACAACAACAACAACAAAAAAAAAACGTCGATTTTGGCTGCGGCATTACAGTTTTCTCTGTGTTCTGCGTTCGTGCGTAGTATAGTACGAATGTAAAATGAACGCAGGTTTTGAAATGCCCTCGCAGATCTGCAATGCGCCCGGCGCGTCAGTGACTTGTCAACCGGTTGGAGGCAGCTAAACAATTTAGGTCCCGGGACAATGCTGTAACGCAGCTCCCCCCTCCAGAAAAAATTAATAAGGAAGTTGTATCAAGAAACTACGTGAACTATTTTATTTCAACAAATCCAACTTTTAAACTAGCAGTTTGGGGAAATATATTCTGAATAATAGTTTTCAAGTAAAAGTATTTAGTGATCAAATAATAAAATTTCCGCAATGATCTAAAAATGCTGAAAAATGTGATGTTTAGTGTTTAATAAATTTACTTGTTAAATACATGAAATAATAAATATGAATTCACTAGAACTTGCTTGGATGTTAGTGTCATTCGATTGATTTCAAAGGGTTATAAGGAATTACTATATTCACATTTAAGGGAAAAAATAATTGACAATTTTATGAATAATCAGACTACTGTATCGCGACATATAAAATTTCGATAATAATTTTCTCTAGTTCTGATTTATTTTTCAATGTTTTACTATTTTCCCCCGTGCGACCGCCCGGTCTTCCCACGCCTCGCGCCGGCACTGGTTGGAGGTTCCGAATCCCACCGCTGAACCGCCAATTGTCAGTCGGGAATGTGAATAGGCCGAATGTTACTAGCGAGTTATTCTAGATATGCGTTTTGGTATGTTGAACATTATTCTGCATCGCAAATAAAGATGTTTGAGAATTGTTCTTCAGCCATATATTTTCAAGCCCGATTGGATGTAGTATATGACATCAACCCAGAGTATGAAAATAAATTTTCGCATAAAGATTCAAAATTTACACTGAGAGTAGATCTTGTCATTTACTATCATTCAATTATGTTAAGATTTTTTTTGGATTTTTCAATGATTATTCAAATTTTAATTAATATTAATTGCGTTCTTTTCTAACCTTTCTAAAGTCTAAGAAAGCCACTTACTTGTCATCTTTTTACTTTGTAGTTGTTTTTATGTTCGTCACATAAATGCTTCAATTATATCTTTATTTCAAATTTTCTTTTTCTTTCACACTACCTTCTCATTGATACATAGAACACTCTAAAATGGTTTCTTAAATTTGACTTTTTGTGTTGAATATATTCATGGAAATTATTCATACCGTATTTCATCAGTTTATCTTCTCGATGTAATAGTTAACATTGAGGAAATTTGTGGGAGAAGTGCTGCCATCTGCCTTAATGTTTTCTTTTATAACTTATTGAATACGTCGCCAGTCCTGCAATTTATCTTTATCGATTCAAATAATAAAAAACTAGTTTTATGCGGACTCAAGCAATAACAAAGTGAGTTAACAATTTCGCCTAATACACGGGCTAGAGTTGTGATCAAATAAAAACAGATGACGGGAAACAAAAATATTTTACGTATAAGACAGCCATTTCGGTTCAGGATATGAAACAAATGTTTCATGAATATATGCATGATAATATAGAATCCTCAAAATGTACTTAATTGGCTCTTTCACTTTTACACTGAGTATCTAGTGGTTAAAAATTGTCTCAACCAACATCCTCTGTCTGTAAGTAAAACAATATCGAAGTTTCTCATCAATATAATTCACGTTACATGCACCAGTTTTTCTTTTATTAGTCAAATATGATTACACTGTAGATGTGTGTGTATAAGGTTTGTATATTTTGTGAAATAAGTCTTTGTATGTATGAAAGGTATTGAAAATGTATGTGCAACTTCACGTACAGGAAAATATAAATAAATAATAAGATATTTAAATCCCCCAAATACGAAAAGAAAAAAATAGTTTGAAATCTGTGCCAGAGATTATACTATGAAATTGATTATGAATTTTCTTCACAAAAATCAAAAGAATTGAAGTCAAATTTGACTCTGATAATGATTATTATGTTTTACTAATTTTTTAATTACTTTATAATACTATCTTTTATGTTTTTATGCTTCTCTATGTTATTTTTTATGTTTATGGATGCTAAGTGGATATTTTAGAATATAAACGAAATAATCTGAATTTGTTTTAGAATAACTTTCATGCCTTACATATAAAATACTTTGGGAAAGAGTGACACGTTTCGTATTGCACTAGTTACAGTACATAATATTACAATATTTATCTTTTCGCTTTATATGCTTATTTAATTTTATTATTTCAGAGTAATTAAGTATTTATTTTATACTGATACATTATTACTTGTTTTTGTCTTCGATACGGAGCTATATAAACTACATAACTTACGTGGATCGATAGGATCATGATTACGTGGGAAATATGAAAAAAATGAATGACGCTACTTATCCTCTTCTGGAGGACATTATGGAAGGGAATTACGGGAGGGAATTATGGAAAGAGAAGCTGAGTCAAGTTAACTCCTAGTTACTTTGTCAACTTCTAGTTACTTAGTTCTGATAACACCTAGTTAGCAAATAAGTGAATCTGAACGATTAAATTTAGGTGCAAAATAAAATATTATCAGAACCACGAACGTTAACTGGTTCTAATGATCTCGGGCGACAAAGAGACCTCAGACCAAAGACTTTGGGAGGGAAGTTGTATCCGCTCGATCATTAGAACCCTTGTAACGCCCTTTTTTGCATAAATAACTATTATTCCTGAAACAGTATTAATAAATAAGATTCGTCATACTAAATAGAAGGAGTCGTGAAGTGAAGAGTGCCTGCCACAATTGTTTAATTTTTAGTGTCAAAGTGTTCGGGTCCGTCTTTCCGGGCGGCCGACTAACCCTCGCGTGGCCTGTGTGCGCAGTGCGAGGAGGCGTGCCTGCGGGCGCGCTACGAGAAGCCCGGCGCGTGCCCCGGCGCCGGCGCCCGCTCGGCCTTCGACGAGGCGTGCCTGGACGCGTGCGCGGGCGACGGCGACTGCTCCGCCACCGACAAGTGCTGCGCGCACGCGTGCGGCGTCACCTGCCAGCGCGCGCAGGGCCTGCTCGCCGCGCCCGGTGAGTTTTCGCACACGCTTATAGCGCCCGCCCACGCCCACGCCCTCGCACCTTCCCCCGCCCACGCCCACGCCCACGCTCACGCCGTCGCCACC